TTTTTTGTGTGTGTAGCTTTGTGCAGTTCACTTCATACCATTTCATTCCATTCCAGGTGGATGCCTGGCCCGTCCCCACACTGCCCTTCTGCTCAACCCTGACCTGTTTCCAGCATAAACAGCAGATCGTCACCTCTCACCCCTCTGGCTTTACCTGATAATCTGTCTCTGTGGATCACCCCCACCTTTTCTCTTCTTTTTCTCCCTCAGCCTCCCACATTCTGACCAGAAACCAGGTTTCTGCATCACCCCAGTGCTGACCTCTGACCCCAGTCAGATTAGAGTGGTTGGCATTTCAAATCCAGCAGCAGATTGAGTAGCGTCTGTGACCTCCCCGTGCATTTCTCCCCTCTGAATCGAGGCAAGGCCAGTCAGATCGCAGTAACATCTAAAGTTAGACATGGGTTTGCAGTTGAAGGCGTTTCAGTCACTGAAGCAGCATCTCGGCTAATGCAAGCGTCCTCTGATCCACGTAGACCAGTGTGTGGAGGTGAATACAGTGGCGTTGGAAAGTTTTTAGACCTTTTCACTTTTCACACAATTTATTGTGTGATAGATTAATTGATTAAATTTACTTTTTCCCATTTGTCTACACACAATAACCCATAATTACAGAGCAAGAACGTTTTTGCTAATTAATTGAAAATGAAAGATTTTGATCCTTTGCTAGGTGTAATCAGTTTGCTTTGATTATCCTTAAAATATTGTCTCTCTACAACTTGATAAAATGCTAATTCAATTTATTGGAACACAATTAAAGCTTGTCAGACCAAAAACTGAGCTGTGAAGTCCAAGGAACTCTCCATGGACCTTTGCTATTAGATTGTGTTGAAGCATGGATCTTAGTGAGCATTTAAAACAGTTTCTAAAGCTTTGAATGTTCTTTCCTTCCTGGTCCAAAGTAAAGAGCTGGTTGTCCAGCAGAACTCAGTGATCAGGGAAGAAAGGCCTTGGTCAGGGAGATGATCAAGTAGAATGAATTTGTCTGATCAAAAGGTTCACCTACAGGGGCAAGAAAACCTGTTTTCCTGGATTATTTGCTTCTAAACTGTGACCTGGTCCTCTTCTAAATCACAAACACATTGAGCTTATGGTAGAAACACACAAACAATTATAATCTTTTGTGTCTTTATTTAACAGCCATTAAACATTAACAGTGCTGGTGGAAAAAGCAAGTGAACCCTTGGATTTAATAACTCATTGATCGTCCTTTGGCTCCAATAACCTCAAACCGGCTCCTCCAGTAGCTGCTGATCAGAGCTGCACAATGTTCAGGAGGAATTTTGGACCATTCTTCCTACAGAGCTGCTTCAGCTGCATCTGAGGATGTCTGGTGTGAGTGTCTCTCTTCAGCTCATTCCACAGCATCTCTGTTGTATTAAGGTCTGGGCTCTGACTGGACCACTCCAGAAGGTGGAGTTTCTTTGTTTGACACCTGTAGTAGATTTACTTTGATGTTTAGGGTCATTTGCCTGCTGCATCGCCCAGTTTCTCCTGAGCTTCAGCAGGTGAACAGACACCCTGACATTATCCTGTAAGAGACCTGGATAAACTTTACAGTTCAATTTCCTCATGATGATTTGGAGCTGTCCAGGCCCAGAGGCAGCAAAGCCCCGAATAGTGATGCTCCCTCCACTGTATTTTGTTTTTATGTTGGCGTGCAGTCCTCCTCTTACACCATTCATATTGCTGTTGGTTCTTCCCAGACGATTCACCCTTTGTTTCATCAGTCCACAAAACATTTTCCCTTTAGTGTTGTGGAGAGTCAAGCTGCTCTTTGAAGAACTTCAAGTGTGCAGTGATGTTTTTTTGTGGAGAGCATCAGCTTCCTCTGTGGTGTCCGGCCATGAACACAATGCTTAGTGTTGTAATGCTACGCTATGTTGCACCTTTTGGAGGAGATTAATACAGAGCAGTAACACTGTCTTCAAATAATTTTCTTTGTTTTGTATCTGCCATTGATCACAGTTTCTCTTGCATTAAAATGCGTCTCGTATCCAGATTGTATCTCAATATGATTTAAACCTAATTACTTTTTACACCTGGTTAAAGGTTTTACTGGTCTGCCTCTTAAGCATCTCTTCCTCTGAATTTTTCCAGGCAGTTTCTTTCTTTGCTTGAATACTTCAAAAGTCACCACAGGATAACAGAGGATGATGTTGTTGATGTCCCCTCACTGGGACATCAACAAGTGAACAGACTCCTCCTCCTTCCTCTTCTTCTCTGCCTGCTCCCATGTGACACTGAGAGGAGCATCCCATAGTATGAAAAGAGGGGACACACACACATAGAGGGTAATAATGGGAAGAGAGAACCGAGGGAGAACAGTGGAGAGTAGCCTAGAGAGCTTCTTCAAATATTAATGTTGCGTGGCCTACACCAGTAAGGGAGACTTTGTCATTGCCCCATTCTGTATAGTGAATAACTAGATGTGGCTTGAGGCCATGCTTGAGGCTTGAGGAGATGTCATCATCACCGAAACTCACCTGTTGCATCAGTGTACTTCCTGTTGTAGAGCTCGGAGTGTGAGTGTGTGTTAACGCAGGATCAGACAGTGTGAAAACACAACAGAGTTATTACCAGGTTTGAATTTAGACCAGTTTTGGACTCTTCTGTTGATATAAGTTTTAAGAATTAGTGTCTTTAGTCACACTAGCAACATGGTTCTTGGAATGGTTGGTCCACCACTTTGATCCAGACTGAAATATCAGAAGATTTTTGCATGGATTGCCATGAAATTTCCCCTGACTTTTCCTCCAGTTGTCACTCATCCAGTGGACTATCTCAACAAGCACTGGATGGATAAAAAGATTGATACAAGGACTTAAGACTGTGCTGACCCTCCTCTTTGCATTTTGTATGCAGTTTCATGCAAGGATACATTTATTGGCATCATCATGCTGCACTGCAGTATGTAACTGTTTTACATTTTATCTTAAAATATTTATTTTTAATATGTTTCTTTTAATATTTGTACTCCCTCATGCCACAGGCTTCATCATGGTCTGTGCAAACACATTTGTGTACAGATGTTTTAAACACAGCAGCTCAGGAACAGCGCATGGTCAGATTAGATGACCTTGCCGAACTCATTTGCATATTAATGAGAAGCGTTGTTGGGGCAGGCTGTGTATTTGGTAAGTGCTTGTCGCTCTATCTCCCACCTTTATAGGATGATGATGACGAATTCACTTTGGTTTTATTGTCTAATATTAAATGCACTGAGTTTCTTTAAATATTAGATGTCGCCAAGTATTAAAGTTCAAACAGGATACCCCACCCCCCACCCTCCACTCTGCTCCAGTGCTATTCCTACTTTTCCAGGTGGAACGAGACAAATGGATGTAGTAAAGCTGAAACTTGTTTCTGTGTGGTGTGACTTGGTGTCAGGTGACGTCTGCTGAATCATGTGTGACAAAAGGATTACAGGCCTGCTGGCTGCTTCTCCAGCTGTTGATACACACCCTTTTTTTTTTTTCTCCTTAATGTCAAACTTTCACATGGTAGAATTCATCGCCAAGCGTTGCCTCTACACGCTTCTCCCACTCTCTGCAGCCACATAAAATGCCCAGAGGAACACACATCCCACAGTTTTATTCCACTCTGTTTTCAGCCAAAGTCACAGTCAAACTGGAATCAACTATCCACACAGAGGAGGAATATCTCCAGTTTTATGGAGTCGTAATGCGGTAGGGGTACTGTATAAATAATCTCTCCGCACAGAAACACTTCCAGCTGTTAAACAATATGCCCTTTGCAGTTTTTCTTTTCTTCTCCTTCTTTTTGAACATAGAAAGCTTCTTGCCCAGACTGCTTTGAAAATGAATACAGGGGGTTTTTTTTTTCTTGTATTGAGAAATTATGTTTTTGAATTTTTGCCTTTTGTGACACCTCCAGATTGTTGCACTTCATGCTGATTAGTATTAGAGTGGAGCTGGAACTCTGCCTGTATTAAAAAGTGCTTTTGAAAGTCGGGTCATAATGTGAAATTCAAAGCTCAGAATCTGTTTACAATTAGACCCTTTGAAGCATTCCACTGTAATCTCTCCCTCCTTTTGATATAAAGATACAGTATTGATATAACTAAAGGGAATTTTGCCTTTGTTTTTAAAGCCATACCTGTGGCTTTTGATTGATGGGTGGAAACTGTTCAGTAGATTCAGATAATAAAGACTTGTTTAAAACCTCACTCTGAGGTTATAGGTTCCTCATAGAGTTCAGCAGTATTTTGTATCAACACAGGCAGAATGGCGAAACCCAGTGTGGAAAAAGCCTTATCCCCACTGGGCAACCATGAAACATTATTTGTGAACAAGGGATGATAAAGTAAATCCAGGGCTCTTTTTTTTTTCAGAGGCATCCTCATTGCCTCTGGCCAGGTTGCAGTGCTGGTCAGTGGAGGGGGAGATGAGAGGAGAGCCCCCTCTTCATCTGGTAAAGATCCTGCCGTTGGGCAGCTTTCACGCTCCACTGACTGATCCTTCCAGGAAGTGAGGGGAGGTACAAGGACCCCCCCACAGAGCCCCAGCATGTACCTTGGCTGCATGCTGAGCCCAAATCAAAGGGGGCAGTCTGTCCTAAGCCTGGGGGAGAGAGAGCCTACTGAGTGTGACCAGAGACATGGGTAATAGGACGGCTTGTCACACTTGTGCAGATGCCTATATTTTTGACAGTGTGGTTCCTTCTCTCCTGCTTGGGTTGCACAAAAAAACCCTTTTGCACTGAGGTCACATTTATTGTAATGACCTTGGCAGCTTCCAGACAAGACCAGGAAGTCATGTAGCCATCACAGTTATTACTATTAGGTATGTTAGATCAAACAGATTTAAGACTGCAATCATACGCGGTGTTGCAATGCTGGCAGTTACTGTTGATGTGGAAACTTTAGGGTAGAAGGGCAATTTAATGCTGGAAAGGAGAGCTAGTCTCAGTGCAATAACTAATATAAATGATTTATTGTGTTTGCGTTTCAGTTGGTAGCAAGTGAGTCCAGCCCTTCAGATGAAGAGCCTTCAGTTCCGGAACATCGCCCCCAAGGCCCCGGCCGTGGTGCCCTCCCCCTCCCCTGCGGTCCTGTCCTGCCAGCCTCCCTCTGCCCTCCCTGAGGCTACCACCGCCTCCAGCCCCAAGTCCATCATTGTGCCCACCCAAAACTATGCACTGATGCAAATAGCCGGTCAGGATGGCACGTTCTCCCTGGTGGCGCTGCCCCCTTCTGTCTCCTCTCAGACACCACAGCAACAACAGCAACAAACCCAGTCAATCCAAAAGAACCTCAAACTGCCCATTCCCAGATACCAGCCAGTGAGGAGCAAGGGGACCACAGATAAGGTCAAATCACCACCACCAGCTGCCACGATGAAAAAGGCCTCCAAGGCTACTATGACATCACAGACCAAATCAGTGGTGGGTGGGTCATCAACAGCTGTAAAGAAAAAACAGGAGTCCAAGCACACAAAAGAAACCTTAGTGCCGAAAGAGGAACCATCCGAGCAGGTAATTCTGATTGACCCGGGCTCCTCGGACATCTCTGTCACTGCTCTGCTTCCAGACAATGCTGTCCTGTATCCCAGCTCTCAGTTGGAGCGAACGCCAGATGGCTCTGAACGACCCGCTACAACTGGCCTTATTCAAAACCTCCAGTACCCCCCTACTGCTGTCAAAAGCTCCCCAGTCAAATCCCCAGAGGAAAGTAAGACCACAGTGAGGCTGTGCCAATCCAGCCCCACCACAGGCCAGCCCCAGAGCAGTATCACTGTCCTGTCCCCGGCCATCTTCAGCAAAGCAGTCCAGATTATCCCATCCCCACCTAAGGGTAAACTGCCCATTCTGCCCTACTCTAAAATGAAGAGCACCCTCATACCAGCTGCCAAGCTCAGCAGTTTGTCGCCAGAGAAGAAGGATTTCTCCAGCCAGACAGGACACACCAGCCCCATAGATCCTACATCCAAGACCCTCGAGCCAGCCGAAGCCTTGAGTCACAACCAGGTGTCAAACTCTGCTCTACAGCACCAGGCCAAGACCACACTCATGCCTGTGTTGGGGACCCTCCAGAAACCACCCGGCAAGAAGCGAGGGAGGAAGAGAAAGACAATGGAAGACATCTTGGCATTTGAGGCCAGAAAGAAGAGGTCCTTGTCCTTTTTCCGTAGAAGGGTCCCTGAGAAGCCGCCAGCAGTTGTTCCTGGCTCCAAGCAAAAGGAAGTTGACATTTCAAAGAAGTACCGGAGCATCCGCCCCAAGCCTATGTTGGTTATGGAAACAGTTCCCCAACTGGTTAGTCTGCCTGCCATTACCTCAGAAGGCCAGGAACAGGAGCTCGTACTTGGTCCCCAGCTCCCCACCACTACTCCAACCAAGGCCCCTGACTGTCCTCCCCAACCAGCCCCAGTGACCCTCCACCTGAAAGGTGCCTCCCATCCCAGAGTGTTCATAGGCAGCCGTCCGCTGCACCGCTGTCCCACCTGTAGCCGCTGTTTCCAGTTCAAGCACCACCTCCAGAGCCACATGAACAGTCACACCAACAGTCGGCCCTACGCCTGTCCAGTGTGCCGCAAAGCCTACGCTCACTCCGGCAGCCTGAGCACCCACATGAAGCTTCACCACTCGGAGGTACGACCACGTCGCTCTCTGTGCTGTGAGTTCTGCGAGAAGGCCTTTGGGTATGTGGGGGTGTACTTCAGTCATCTGAGAGAGGTCCACAAGGTGGTGCTGACCGTAGAGCCGTCGATCAGCCATCATGAGGATGACGTGTCTATTGAGGGGTAAGATTATTATCAGCTTCATCATAAGGATTCCTACTTAAACACGGCGTTTACCTTGGTGCAGGTTTTGTGAGATTCCAACACTTAGATTAAATGTGTAAATAAATTGATGAGGCAACATTCAACAGTGCATTGTTCATTCTCCTCCCCAGGGCCAACTCCCCAGAGCCATCAGATGAGCAGGACCATGAAGACCCCGTGGAGCTGCAGATCAAATGTGGTCGTTGTCAGGCGATCACTCCCACCTTTGCTGACATGAAGATGCACTTACTGTACGTGCACAGGGAAGAGGTCCAGGTTCGACTTTATGATGGCCAACCTTTGCGGGGGGGCCGCGAGGTTGAGAAAGAACTGGTCAAGCACGCTGCCCACTATTGGCGGCAATTCAACGAGAAACACAACCTGGTCAAGTGCGGCAGCTGTGACGAGGAGTTCTTCTCCTTCTCCAAGCTCAAGAGGCACATCATGTCCCACCACCGGGGAAGAGAGGGGGTGGACAGCGCGACCATCTCATCACCAGACAGCGGTGGAGGACTCGGTGTCCTTGCGGCAGGTGCAGCCTTTAACTGTGTGCTGTGCAGCGAGGTACTGGACACTAAGGTGGGGGTTATGGAGCACTGGAGGAGTTGCCACCACTGTGAGAAACCCAGCCTGCTTTGGGACGCCCTGAGCTCCTACCCTGGCCAGGAAGAATGTGAGGCGGACGGGGATCTGGACACTCCTGCTCTAAGCCCACACTAACCAGCCTGGCCCTCGGAGGGCATGGAGCCCTTCACTGTGGCTCCTCCTCATACACACTCAGTCCTAACAATCAGCAGCACAGGGATGGAGGGTCTCTCTTATGTCTTTTACCACTAGTTTCATCTTTCACCAGTTGAGGCTTTTGACGTGGGCCAAAAGAAAGGAAAGGAAAAAGAATGGTGAAAACTGATCTTTGTGTTACATTTCATAAGAGAGATTCTCTCTAGGTCAGAGAATCCAATTTTATAAACAATATTATTTCCATGTTATTTTGATTGCACTGTTTTTTTTTTGTTTTTTTTTGTTTTTTTTTACTTCATTTTGTTTGGAGGTATGTATTTAATATCCTGTTGGAAATTAGATGATTATTTTTTTCTACTGCTTATTTAAATGTTACTAAACGGCTAATTTATAACCAAGCTGACACAGTGAAACTGTTAGATGGTCATTTCACCCAAACACTTACCTCTTGTGGTATCTAGCCATGCATATCATTTGGTTTTATGTGCTCAGTTTTTGAGATATCTGTTGCTGAGATTTCTGCCTCCAATCTAGAGGAAAAATTTGATTTCAAAAGTTTGGGACAACAACATTTGTTTCGGCGATTTATGATTAGCAGAGTGATGACGAGGGAGAGAGAAATGCAGAAATAGGTCCTAGGGCAGATACAAACCAGAGACCTTGTGATTCATCTTAAAGCCAGTTATTTAACTTGGAAGACAAATACATGTTCAGTTTATAAACTGTCATTTTTAAATACTGCATCTTCCACAAAAACAATTGAATTGACCTCCATTGTTTTGGATTGCACGCAGTAACTGTAATGATGACGTCTTTGACATTGACTGAAACAACCGAGATGATCTGCGTGGCTGAATAGCACCGTGGGAATGTGTGAAATGTGTTTTTTGTTTATATCTTTTGAATTGGGTGGAGTGATCTTTTGAAATACTGAGAAATGTAAATCTCACAACAAGGGCACACTGTCTACTGTCACACTGGCTGACAATTTATCTACTGGCCTTGGATTATTACAGGTTAAAAGACGTTTTATGCGATATTGCTCGTGTAACAGAAAAATCAATATTTTCAGTTATGACTTGAACTTTCAGTCTGACTAAGGGCAGTATTAGGGTCCTCTGTCAACTTGGATCCATGAAGAAAACACTTTTCTAACCAGCACCCAAGTGACATCCTTGTGGCCTTCTGAAAAAAAAAAAAAAAATCGTTCATGCGTAATGTGGCTTATCATCAGTATGGTCCTCTGTAGGCCAAGTTCTATCTCCTTGACTTGTTGATTAATGCCTCTATGTGTATTCTATGATATGCCAAGGGTCTATTCACACTAGTGATTGTAGAAGTGAGTTTTGCATTTAAGCTTTTTAACCACTGACGGAAAACTGTTTGTCGATTTAGTAAACACGCAAAGGAAACCATCGAATTGCCTACCTGTCGTTGCCAGCTCATGTATGCACCTGTGGAATTGTGTGCACCCAGACTCTATGATTAGAGCTAATATAAACCGTTGTCAAGTCCAGAAAAATATGCTATTTTATACTCTAGATTAATACAGATCTTTTAGTATATTTATGCTTGTGGTTGGTCCTTAAAGAACCAGCACCGAGACAGTTGTTATGTTTGCTTCTCCTAGTTTGGGGGATGCTTGATGTCTTGTTATTTGGTTGGGAGTTCATTACTACATGGCAAGTACCTCTGTTAACATTTGTCTGTGTTTATCTTTCATATAAAAAAATATCACAGGGTCAAGTGAATGTACCTGAATGTTTTAAAAACCCTACCAAAAGTATATGCTATATAGACTTATTCTATAGATAGAAGATATAGATATATTGAGAAAAAAACCATATATATATTTACATAGAGTAACTAGTGAATCAGCTGCTTTGTTCTGTCACAGTGGAGGAGGGGAAACGAGATGAATATATCATTGCCAAACCTGGCAACAAAAGCCATGCAGAGCTGTCCTTATGTGTCTGACACAAAGCGTAGGACTGTGAATGAAGGGCAAAGCACTGATGTGTACATGTCGCACTGAGTGAGTCAAATGCAGCATACTGTACTACTGTTCATTGAATGCCATGTTTGCGTGTTCATCAGTGAACTGTCCTTTGTTTCCATGCCCTCAACACAAACCAGGAAGTGACAGAAGTAAGGGTCAGACTCTTCTTTCCTCAGTTTAGATGAGAAACACACATGACTGTCAGCACAAGTCCGAAAGTGAAAAACCCCACACCAGGTGATATAATGTGTTTGGCTCATTCAATCTGTTGACAGTGTCCTAAAAAACAAAACAAACAAAAAAAAAAAGACTGAAAGTGTTTGTGCTCTGTTTGTGTATCTGAAGAACCTGATGTTTATGAGAATAAAGATATGCTTTGTTGAAGACTACGGACTGTTTGTGGATGATTAAGTTCAGAACTATGTTACACAAAAAGCTTTGCAGTCCACTTGGAACATGCCATTCACGTTCTGCTACATCCAACAATGAGCTAACTGCAGCTACAAGCCACTGAAAAATGACAGGTAAATTGATATAATGCTGTTGTTGTGGGGGTTTAATAATGTAATAACGTTGTATTTTATGTTTCAGTTGTCTTTTAAATACATCATTATATTGGGCGTTTTTATTATTATTATGAAAAAAATTGCATATGACAGGAAATTTGAAGATAATCTAAATGATTGAATATTGCTTCCAGCCTAACTGTTGTTTCTATCAGCTTCAGTTTCCAGTCTGGATCCAGACCAGAGTTTGCACATTAAGTATCTGGACCACACGAAAAGTGAAAAACACTTTTCTGGACATAAGGTACAATTATAAGCCAATATATGTGTCAAACATCAATGTCCGAAGTAGCAGTTGAAAAATCCGACACACCGTCTGACTTGAAATAAACAATTTATTTGCAACTTCATCAGGCAAAAAAAAAAAGTTTGATGATGAAGGTCTAGCACCGAAATGTTGCAAATAAAGTGTTTATTGGTACAACTGCTACTTCGACTCCACTCATCCTGCTCCTATGCTCCTAGATATGCAAAGTGTTCTTGTTTTGAAACATAAATGACAAAAGTAGGGCTGCAACAAACAATTACTTATAATTATTACTGATTAATCGTTAATTGGTCTATAAAATGTCACAAAAAGGCATCTTCAAATTGCTTGTTTTGTCTGACCAACAAAACCTAAAGATATTCAATTTGCAATGATAACAAGGCTAAGAGGCTACAGCTATTCTAGCAGCTCTGTGAAGTGAAGCTAAATGCTAACATTCTGTCATTTACCACGTAAAATGTTTCCAAATGAGTTCAGTGTGTTAGAATGCTAACATTTTCTAATTAGCACAGAAGACGAGCTAGAGTTGAGGCTGATGGGAGTGTCTCATCTACTGTAGCAAAAAAGACAGACTGAGTTTGGGTTGAGGCAGACAGGAGGACGGAGTCACTGTGTGTCCATCGGAACAAATCCAGAGACTGGCATTAACTGATATTTCACTCTGCAAAGGTGTGTGCATGTGTGCAGGATGTAAGGGTCAAGCTAAGTGGGGTAGCCCCAGGGCTTTTAGGAGCCTATATATGCCTCACCTCTGTGCTCCTCCTCTCCCAACAGACCTTCCATCTGTCTGCTGAAGCGTCATAAAATAATCAGACCCACAGATACGAGTGTGCAAATGTTTCTGCTCTTTGGTTTTAATGCACATTCTTATGTCTCTTTTATTAGATACACCACACAGGATCCACAGAGCAGAAAAAAAACTGGCTTAAGAACCAACACAGCACATGGGCTGGAGACGATTTCTGGAAGACTGCTGAGGTTCAGACAAAGGTGAGGTTGCCATGTTCTGAGAGGAGCACAAATACAATAGTTGCATGCCTTTTGATGGCTTCATATTTAATGAATGGAGATGACATTAATAATGCTTGATATTTTTCCCTCTCTGCCTGTTCATCTTTTTTCTTTCTGCCTTGCATTTAGAATAAAGAAACACTAAATCGCTCTTTTCAGACTCACAGAAAAACAAAGAGGGACAAATAAGTTGAACACATGAGAATACACTTTTATTAGTCTCCATGCCATCAGAACCAAATGCTCTGTGCTCTGTTGCAGGCCCAGCTGTGGTAATCATTGTCACACCAGAGTGGAATGCAGGTCCTCAGCTTTAATTGAATTGGAGGCATATATTACCCTGCATCAAAGGTCAAAGGGCACTTCTAGTGTGGTTTCTGCTGCTAGTCAAACAAGCAACGCGCCCTGACACAAAACAACCGTAGCTGGCTTCACGTCAACTCCTCAACTTCTTCAAACTGCTTTACTCAAAGGTTTCAAGTGACAGTGATTCAACTTCAGGTGGGTTTCAGCTCCGGTGGAACACAAGATAAAGCTGCGACATCAGTACATGCCGGGCCCCCAATCTAGCGTCGCCATCGCACTACATCGCAAGCTGCAGATAAAAAGGAAAGCGCTATACAGTGATGCATATTTCCCTTTAATCAGAGCTAACGTGCACCACAGCCGTCACACTGCACTCCCACCTCACTGTGGCTCTCAGGGGGACAGGGGAGATCAAAGCCCCCTCCCCTCCCCTCCCCACCCCACCCACTTGTACATGATCAGTGGGAAAGAAGGAGAACTGTGGGCTGCTCTCTTTCCTTCTCTCCTTCTTTCTTTCTTTGGGTCTTTGAGTTACACCCCCCCACCCCCACCCCCCCACAGCACCACCACCATGGCCCTGGAAGTGTTTAGACTGAGGAAGCTGAGGGACACACAGTTTCTCTGCTTCTCAGAGAGACACGTCGGACATGTTGATCTACGTATGCCAGAGGAGATGCATTGACTTTGTGTGTGTACCTGTTTAGCTTTTGCATGTGCGCTCTCTCTCTCTTTCTCTTTCATTCAACCCCATATGTGCAGACAGAGCAGGGTGGAAACTAGACCGCTAAACAACATGCAGGGAGACTTGAAATAACAACACTGGCGTCACTGGGAGAAAGCAGTGGGAGATTTATGGGACAGTAAAAATGTGACCCGCACTGACCAGAGATGGTCTCCAGAGCGACTTAGGTGGGGTGTAATGAGAGTGCAACATGCAATCTGCTGGCTCCACTCCCACCTTCTCACTTCTCACTTTTGATGCACGCTCTGTTGCCAGTCTGTCTTAATACACTAACACCCGTGAAGCTTCCGTCAGCATGTGCAATATGTTGGTGATACGTGTGCACATTCATCAAAGTGATTCTATGGTTTCATCAA